CATCACATTAAATGAATCACACATCCTCAATATAGGTGTAGTCTTACTTGCAGGCATAATTCCTGTGTATAATGGCTGAGAACATCGTGAGAAGAACTGAGGCACATTAAGTGGTATTTTGGAAAGTAAATATGAACTGTTGATTAAACCCCGAATAATCTTAAATATAAATAAAACAGAATCAATCGCTCTACGACTTTGAAGTGAGTTTTCATTAAATCGCTGACACAACTGTGCATAATCAGATCCCGTGGGTCACAATAAACAAATTTAGAGCGTACCAAAGAGTAAAATAATGTTTTTAAAGCAGCTTCATTTTTAAAATTTTTGCATATTCTAAATAAAAACCCCAGGCTTCACACACAATGGTGTCAACGTGGGTGTTAAATTTAAGATTAGATGTAAAATGTACTCCCAAATCTTTAATTACACTTACTCTATCAAGCTTACTGTTACCGATTCTATATTGAAAATTAATTGCCTCCTTTCTTCTCGTGAAGGTCATTACCTTACATTTTTTGGGATTAACATCCAGAGAATTGTTATTACACCACTCATAAAATTTATCCACATCCAACTGGAGATCCTCACAATCGTCGCTGCAGTTAATAGGTTTAAATAATTTAGCATCATCAGCGTACAACAAAATTTCATTATTCAAGATCGATTCTACTTCTTTCATATAAATTACAAATAACATTGGTCCAAGATTGGATCCTTGTGGGACTCCAGAGGTGGGTACAAATTCGAAAGATGAGTATCCATTATAATTAACTGTCATAACTCTTTTACATAAGTAGGAGCACATAAGTTTCAACATTTTATGTGGGACACCAAGATCCTTTAAATCATTCAAAATTTTTTCGTGACTAATACTGTCAAAAGCTTTGGAAATGTCAGTGAAAACCACATCAACTTGTTGATTATATAATAAAAAAGTTTCTATTTTGTTTAAGAAAGTAAACAAGTTTGTAGTAGTGGATCGTCTCGGTACAAAACCATGTTGATTTAAAGAAAGTGTAGGAATAAAGTATGACCACAAGATATCAGCAATAATTGATTCGATTATTTTAGAAAAATTACACAATATAGTTATGGGTCTGTAGTTCTCAACACAAGACTTGTCTCCACTTTTAAAAACAGGAGTAATCCTTCCTCGCTTCCATATATCTGGAAATACACCCGTCTCGAGACACAAATTAATAATTATACTTAGCGGTTGAACAAAAGCATCACAACAACTACGAATTAGAACACTCGGTATTCTATCCACACCCGCAGTAAATTTATTACTTAGTGATTGTATTTTAAATTTAATTAGTTTAGAGTCTACCAGTTTAGAATCTACCAGCAATCTATCTCCCATATAAACAAAATTGTTTGAAAACAGAGTATTAGGGTCAAAATTAGAGGATTTATAAACATTCATAAATAAAGTAGCAAATGCATCAACAATTTCCTGTGGGTTACTTTTCTCTTGATCATTATGATGGACAATAGCCGGAATTCTAGATTTTTTCTTTGATCTGTTCATGTGAACCCATATTGAATTTGGATTGCTGATAACTTCATTTTCAATTTTTTTAAGATATAAATTATGCTGCTTGTGAATTTGATTTTTAATATTTCTTCTATAATTTTTATAGGCCTCGAGAAAATATGTATTACCAGAGGTGTTGAACTTACGTTTAAACTTATTTTTCAATTTAATTTGAGCAATAATTTGCTTAGTGTACCAATGTGGATAAGCACATGTCATTGATGTGTTTCTCACATAACCCACTTCATTTTCCAAAAATACATAAATTATGTCATAAAAGATCTGTAGGACCACATTAACATCACATGAACCTCGAAGATTAGTCCAATCAACATTTAGTAATGATGTATATAACTTAGAATAGTCACAATTTTTAAAGTTGTACAATGAAATATTTGGATTGAAATTAAACTTATTAGAACAATTATTAAAGGTAACATTTTCAAATTTAATGAGTAGTGGCGGATGATATTTGTCAACCGGTAACAAAGGGAGCTCATTATCCGAAACCTCACAAGGAACAGAAGCGATTACTAAATCCAAGTATCTGTCATTTATATTATTAATGTCGTTATATTGATTCAATCTATTAAGTACTACAAAATTATGTAATATGGATGACTTACGATCAAAAAGATTATTTTCAATAAATTGCTTAAGGTTAGGTATATTAAAGTCTCCAATAAATATAACTTTATGATTCATACACAATGACGAAGCTGTGATTGCATCAAAAAACTCCTCAAGATCTCCCCAAGACACTTGCGGTGGAATGTATACCGAGATGACAATGAAGGAATTACCCTCAAAAGAAATTTTAACTGCAATGATATTAATATTGGGTACAAAAGAGATAATGGGTGATAGATTAATGCAAACTGTTTCAAATTTAGATTTCGTGGCTATAAGAACTCCCCCACCCTTTCCCAGTAATCTGTCATCTCGATAAACATTAAACAAATCAGTATCAAACACTTCACAATCCTGCACGCATGGCTTTAGCCAGGTTTCAGAAAAAACCAATATATCGTATTCAGACACATCCAATCCAGAACGAAGAGTATTAAGTTTGGTATTTATTCCACGTACATTCTGATAATAAATGACAATTTCATTAAGCATATCCAAATCCACAACATGTGTACAATTAAAACTACAATTTTCCCTATCTTGTGACACTGTGGAATCTAGTTGGTAGAAGGAGTATTCACAGGCTGACGCCTCTTGACTATTCGCAGTTCCCCTCTCACCTCTCTGATTACCAAATCTAATTCCCCTCTCCTCTGGCGATCCAAGAGTTCCACATGTTTCTCCTTCCGCTGAGCTCTTTGTAGTGGGGTTAAGTCTTTGACAACAGAGATCTGTGATTTCTCCAAGATCAATGTTGCTCTCCCTTTCCAATATGCTCGTAGAGTCTCCCACATAGTGTCCTCCCTGTCGAACGTTATTCGTATAGGACGTGGAGGGGCAGGGTTCTGTTGACGTTTTCCAAAACGTGAGCATACAATAGAATTCGGATCATGCGATAAGTGAATTTTCTTAATAAAATCATTAACTTGGTTAGACTCCAAATTAATTTATGAATCCTTTGTTAGCTTACCATCATCTGCAATCTCAGGACAGCCAAACATGATTAAATTTCGACTTCTAATTTGTCTATCAGTTATTTCAGGAACACATTTATCAGAAATCGCACTTTCAGAAACAGAGTTGAGACTGGTACCAGGATTGTCAATAACATCTTGTACTTTTTGAAATTTAGCTTCTAAATTGTACACTCTCTCTTCAACATCATTTAATCTTGTAGCATAGGGGGCCATGAAAGCATCAAATTTTTCGGTTATAAATTTTTCAGACTCAGATTTGGCCCTTGCGTAGTGGTCGTTCAACAATTGACTAATTTGTTCAATAGTGACATTATTAGAAGTTGTTGGTGACAGAGATCTGGATGACGTTTTGTGAGAGCAGCATTTTCTTTTCCCCGTAGTCTTATTAACAGCAAGATTCGCACATCCAGGATGGTAGAAGACCCCACATGGACAGGAAAATGCATCACCAGCAATATTAGCATTGCAACTACTACAAACACGGGTAGTAGACATTTTCAAAGAAAAGAAAAGAGCTGGTATTTGGTTTCAAAAAGGCACAACACACACCTGTCCCACTGGTCAATTTTCTTAAGATGGGTAGTAAATTCACAAACAAGAGAACTTCAAGAAAAAATTTTCCAACAAAGAAATAAATCACTTTATGCATAAAAACCAAGGTCAAACATATGCCCGTTAAAAACGTTCACTTCAAACAACTCAATAAAGTACAAATTACACACGAAAATGTAGAAAGAACTCAGATTTTCCGAATCTTCGACAGGAGAATCACAAACACGTTATCTCTTATCGGCCATTTTTTGATAGAACTTTTTTTTACTATTAATGCTCATGACCACAGACCAGCAGATATGGAAAAAAATAATTATTAGGATCCTATCATGAGTTCTAACAATAATTTTTGGCGTTAAAAAATTTATGAAATTTTTTTTTTAATTATTTGTTATGAACAAATTGTTAATATTTAAAAAAACTAATAAAGTTATTTGACTCTACATGAAAAATTACTAAGGAAACATGTATTACTTTAATTTTTTTATAAACTTACATTGTTGTCAAAATGTTATAAACAATTAAAATGATCTTATACTCATTCCAGCGCAAGGCAATAAACAAATATCAAAAAAAACAACTATTGCGATCCAAGCAAGAGTCATAATTATAATTTTTGACGTTAAATATTGTTTGCAACATTTTTTTTAAATAATTTGTTATAAAGAAATAAACGAGAACTTATGTATATAAATAATATAAAGATAAATAAATAAAAACTATCGTATTTCAGATTTTAAAAGTAAAATGGTGCGCCTTGAAAAACGAAAAAAGTTGCCCATCGAGCGTATTGGCAAAAGCAATGTCTCTACCACTTTTGAAAAAGGAAGAATTTGAAGCGGGAATAAAAGCGACAATGAAAGAGGCAAAACGATTTAAATCTAAGGGATCAATTGAATTTATCTCCTTCATTAAACACCAATTTAAAGGTTTTGCAGATGTTTTGTGCATTACAACTTCTTTAATTCGACGAAATAACCTATTTGAAGTTTGTTTAATGAGAATGGAGAAACAAATTAAACATATAAAAATAAAAACATTGTGGATTTTACTTGGTAAATTCATTATATATTTTTTCTTAAACTAATTTATCTTAATCAAATTTTGCATCTTTTTTAAATTTTTAAATTTTGTTCAATGATAAAATGAAATTGAATGACAGCACAAAATATCACTTATAAATAGACAATACTCATTTTTGCTTTTTTGAAATTCTCATTACATAAAATAATATTGTAAATGTTATTTTTCATTTATTTATAATAGAAAGAGTAGCCTTGTTGCTAAATAAAGAATCAGAAATGATGGAAAATTTTACAAATGGTAAAGTAGTAAGAAATTATTCACTCATCAAAGATGTAACAAAAACTAAAGACATCAGATTTGATGACATCAGTGAAACAGCCGTAAAAGTTTCCGACAAATTAACTCGCTTTGCAAAACTCTTTGAACACCACGCCCTATCTCCGAAAGGTAATTCAGCAAATCAGAAACTCCTGACAATAAAAATATATTAATAGTAGTTTAAATAAAAAATGAAGTACAAGAATGAAAATGAGGATTGAATAAAAGTCAGAATGAGGATAAAAATTAAGAATCAAAATTGAGAATGAAAATAAAGAATAACGAATGAGAATGAAATAATTTTATTTAAAGAATCTATTTTGTTAATGTTATACAGTATTAAATAATTAAGTATTTTTAATATTATATTGTAGATGAACATCAAAGCCTTGAGAATTTCGATATATCAATGTCAATTATTGCTCCCTTGCTGTCGAAGGACGAAGAAGAAGATGAAAAGATACAGGAAGGTTAATTCTTTTTTCAAACAATAGTATTAGGAATTTTTAATAAACGATACCAAAAAACTTCGAATAAAAAATTTCACACGCATCGGAACTGTATTTAAAAATTCGATTGACATATAGGATCTTTTATTTTGTATTTTTAAAAATTAAAAACATATTCGTAATCAGCGACCTCAAAAACCCTCGAGTTTAACTTTCAAGCGCATCTAAAATGTTTTAAATATTCGTAAATTTAAATAATTATTTATAAATTTTTTTAAAGAATAATAATCACTTATTTTTGTACCAAAATGTAGAAATCTTCGAAACAGCAAAAACCAATGAGCCAGAAGAACCATCTTTTATAGAGCAAGAGAAGCCTAAAGAAACTCTTTCTCAAGGAAGAGGAAGAGATAGAGGAAGAGGTAGAGGAAGGGGTAGAGGGAGAGGTAGAGGAACAGGGAGAGTAAGCGAAAGTGCAATGGAAAATGAAAATGGAAATAAAAGCCAAAAAAGAAAAGGAATGGGACAGGGAAGAGGAAGTAAAGGAGAACTTGAGAAGGGATCCAAAAGAGCAAGGTCTAAGTCTAAATTAGTTTTTAAATTTTTAATCTAATGTAATAAAAAAAAATATTTTAAATCAATCTGTATAATTCTGAAGTCTAAAGATAATTTTTAATCCTGACTTCTTCATTCCTAATCAAATGTTTTAATCTAAAAGGAATGAAATTTGACTTTTTTATAAAATTTACTCAACAATTTTTAATCCTTTCCATTTACATGACATTATAATATGTGTACTTAATATTTGTTTCGTTAACGCAAAAACTATTATTTTACATTAAATTGAAAACAATTTAAGCAAATGACTATTTAAAAGAAATGAAATTTCGTGCTACTGCAGACAATCAACCATTTATACAATAAACATAAAATAATACATTAATTTCTCTTATTCCACCTTACAGTATTACCGAAGTCATCGTCTTCTTCCTCAGAGTCTCTGTCATCCTCAGGATCCTCAACATCCTCATCATCCTCATCAACCTCATTATCCTCAGGATCCTCGTCATCAAAAGATTGATTAATTAATATTATGCATTATTAAAAATATTTATTATATTTTTCGATTTAATTACACTTTACAATATATAACTTTTTTATATGTTGATTATTGCTTGTTTATTATTTTTTAAAACAAATAGTTTTCATTGTTTAATTTAATTTAAAACTTTTCAGCTTTTGATTAAAATGATCAATTTTCAATAGCCTAACAATAAGTCAAATGTATTTTATCTGATGGACAAAAAAATTGGAATATTAATTTTGAAACATTTTCACTTCATCTACTTTTTTTGATAAAACAAAATCTTTTCAATTTTGATCATTTATATTGTGACGTATAAATTTAATAAATTAAATTAATCTGCTAACATCAAAATCACTGGCCTCATCTAATAAAAATATAAGAAAATTTATTATATAAATTTTCGCCGTCAGGCGCCAATTAATTTTAAAGAGAATTAATAAACTATTTTACAACAACAAACAACACCTCTGAGATGCTCTTAATCTCCAGAGGGAATTCTGCCAAAACACCGGCAAGCAGAAATGCCAGCGGCGAGACACGATTTTAGACAAATATACCACTTACCCATGATGTCCACTCGAACACGTGGTCGGCTCCTCAGCTTCTTCCGCTGCTGAAACAACTCCAACACACAGTACTCCACCACAATGTACAAAAAAGAAAGAGTCCACGGTTCTCTGTATTATATCTCTTTATTTCACACAAAAGTACTGCTTACACTATACAATTCGCGATATTTGCACTCCACGAGTTCACCTCGTGTAACATACGCGCTACAAAAACTCTCTATATCCTCGCGACAATAATCGTAATCGATTGTCTAATGGACGACAAAGCATTGAGATTCTCGGCGTCTCCCTATGCCTCATACCACTGGCTTCGTCATCTCGCTGTCTCTCTCTCTCCACCGTCACTGCAGCCTCGCTCCTTCTCTCTCGCTCCACAGTGGCAGTGACCCCTATTCTGAACTAATAACCAAAATTATTCGCGCGAGCGACACACATTCAAATTACTAGTGGGTCACCCGCCCGCTTGATCTCTACCTTACCGCAGCCTAGTACCGGCGCAGGATCGGGGATCGATAAAAGATGTCTTGACGATTCACTCTGTCACAATATTTAGATTTATGCTCGGATTATGTTTGGAAACTACAATAAAATTATCTGTAAAATAAAAAATTAAGATTATCCTGTTTAACGATCATACAAATCTATAGATAAATTGTTACTAACATAAGTAATTTTGAATTTAAGTGAAAAAGGCTTCTATTTTCAGATATCGCAAATTATTTTTATTTCAGGTAACTTTATTTTTATATTGGTCATTATTGTTTTAATAATCTACGAAATCTTTTTTTAAAATGATTAATACTAATTTATAAATATTTTTCATCTTGTAAATTATTTTCATCATTTACCAATAACCTAAGGAACCTTTTCTTCATAAAAAAATGAAAAATAGAACTATAGATTTCCTTACATAACCAAATTTTTTCATCAAGGGAGTAGAAATCTACTTTAACAATTATTTTCTATCTAACTTTAAGGGTTACTGGAGAGGCTGTATTGAAGTAGAGGCAAATTACAATATGAATTTTAGAACATTGTCGTGCATTTACCTTCCCTTTCACATCACATACATGCGGAAAATCCTCAACTAAACTGCAATAAAATGAAAAGAAGAATTTCAGCGTAAATGATTCGACATTAAATCAACTGATCAATTCTAACCCATGCATATTATGGCAATAAATAATGTTATAAAGTCACTTTTATAATGCATTTTGACATAAATGTCTGACTAAATAAATTTTGAAGGAGGAATTAAGCACACAGTCTGAACAAAAGTTAGTGTACATGCTATATTTTTTACTTGAAATAGAAAACACGTAAGTTAAGCTAATTTATTTTAGAAAAGTGAGAAGAATTATTAACCAAAATAAGGGATTTGAAATTGACATTGGAAAAAAATGTTAAAAATTTGAGATTTTAAAACGATTGTCTGATTTGAACTCAAATTAGAAAATTGTTTTGATATCTCAATTTTTAAATCTCACATTTTACCATTTCCAATTTTAAATGACTCATTTTGGTAAAACAAATTCTTTACAATTCACATTAAAAAATTACAATTAAATACGTGTTTTCCATTTCAAATAAAAAAAATTACATTTTAAAAATCTTTCTAAACGTTTGCTTTAAATCCCAAATTTTTCAACAACTTTAGTAATTTGTTACACCTTCCGAGAAACTGGAAAATGGAATTGTAAATTTTGCAACATCATCATTCACTCACCTTCTTCCCCTACACATCAAAATCATTTCATCGAGAGAAAAAACATTAATTCTAACAACTCTTTTAAAATTAATTCGTTTTCATGTGCGCATTGTGCAGTGACTATATAGGTCCAGCTACAGATTGCTGCAAGAAAATAATATGAATTAAGAAACAGCAATTGTTGGAACTTCAGCTAATTTCCTATAAGAGAAGAAACAAACAAGATGTTTGGCGTATTCGAATAAAATAAATAGGTAATTTCAACATTGGTTGATTTTGCATCTGACAACTAGAAATCTACAAGCGTATAGTCACCTGCACAAAACATTGGAATCAAACCGCATTTGTTCCTATTTTTTATCAGGTATTGATTTTTATGCTAATTAAGGTTTGTTTGCTAATCTGCAAAAACAAATCGTTTTCTCTGTTTAATTTCCTTTTCTTAAAAATTAGGAATATTAATTTCGAAACATCATCATGCAGTTACATTATCTGACACAACAAAATCATATCATTAAGAGAGAAAATATTACCAACAATTCTTCTCAACAAGATTCGTCTTCTTGTACGCATTGTAACACTGACAAACGCAGTTTGGCTGCAGATTGCTGCAAGAAAATAATACGAATTAGGAACCAATGTTCATTCTAGCACCACTTGTCTATCCCAATTCAACAGGTTTATTGTCACCAACTAATGAAAATTAACACCAAAGTAAATGTAGACCAGTTTCAGAGGTCTTGACATTTTTTCACTAGGTGAATATTTTTTTGTGTTAAGCATTGTTGGTTTCTTAATTTATCGTACAACTCACATCATTTTTAAATCTACGTTAACTAATTATTCAAAATTTTTCAGTCTATGATTAATACTCTCACCATTTAACTATCTCCTGAAATGTGTTTGATCGAGTTCTGCATCCAAGTCAAATCAAAAGGAAATACTGAAACATCTTTACACACTTTTCTCTCGTTCTAAAACAAAATTATCGGCATGTAGATTGAAAATATTGCTAACAATTTGTTTCAACAAGATTCGTTTTCTTGCGCACTGTACAGTGATCATACAGGTCCGGTTGCAGATTGCTGCAAGAAAAAAATACGAATCTAGAAACAGCAATTGTTGGCACTTTTACAGATTGCTCTCAAGATGATGAAACCAACAGATTAATGTTTTTCTTCTGCAACTAAGTCAACAGCAAAAACAAAATCAATGTTCATTCAAGCACCTAAATCATCCTAAATCAGCTGGTTTATTGTCACCAATTCAAGAAAAGTAACACCAAAATAATATTAACTAGTTTTAGAAGTCTTGACATTTTTTTATTAGGTGAATATTTTCCCTTGCTCATCGTTGTTTGTTTTTAATTTATCGTACAACTGATAATATTTTTTAATCAACATTAACTAATTACTCAAAATTTTTCAGCCTAAAATAAATACTAACCATTTAATTATTTCCTGCATTGTGGTCGATCGAGTTCTGCATCAAACGCAAATCTAAAGTGAATTTAGAAACGACTTCTACACATTTCTCTCATTCTAAAACAAAATTATCGACATGAAGATTGAAAATATTGCTAACAATTTGTTTCAAGAAGGTTCGTTTTCTTGCGCACTGTACAGTGATCATATAGGTCCGGCTGCAGATTGCTGCAAGAAAATAATACGAATCAAGAAACTGCAATTGTTGGCACTTTTACAGATTGCTCTCAAAAGAGACAGTAAAATTTTAAGATGGGATTCTACTTGCTACCAAGATAGCGCCTTATCTTTTTAGGAGTTTGTAAACAAATAAGTTTTACTTCTACTACAAAAATTCATATATTTTGGATGTTAAAAGTCACTTGGTGCAAGTATTTTTATGTCAGATTGGCGTCTCGATTTAAAAAGCATTTTTCGGAAGTCCAAAAATTCTTGTTGCCGATGTCAAAAGTCACCTGGTGCAAGTATTTTCCATGTCAGGATGTCGTCATGACATGAAAAGTATTTGTTAAAATGTAATTTTTACTTCTAGTGCAAAAATTCTTGTTACCGATGTCAAAAGTCACCAGGTGCAAATATTTTCCATGTCAGGATGTCGTCATGGCATGAAAAGCATTTGTTAATATGTAATTTTCACATCTAGTTAAAAAATTCTTGATACCGATGTCAAAAGTTACCTGGTGCAAATATTTTCCATGTCAGGATGTCGTCATGACGTAAAAAGTATTTGTTAACATGTAATTTTTACTTCTAGTTGAAAAATTCTTGTTACCGATGTCAAAAGTCACCAGGTGCAAATATTTTCCATGTCAGGATGTCGTCATGGCATGAAAAGCATTTGTTAACATGTAATTTTTACTTCTAGTGCAAAAATTCTTGTTGCCGATGTCGAAAGTCACCAGGTGCAAATATTTTCCATGTCGGGATGTCGTCATGGCATGAAAAGCATTTGTTAACATGTAATTTTCACATCTAGTTGAAAAATTCTTGATGCGGATTTAAAAAAAATTAATTTTAATACATTGTTTTGAATGTTTGTACAAATGAAACTACATGCTTTAATAAAATTCAGTCTATCTTTAAAAAATGTTAATTTTTAACTTTCTTGTACAATACAAAATGTTAAAGCTTTTTGTACAAAACAAAACTGGGAGAATGTCCTATACTCAAAATATCATTAAGTAAATTTGGAAGTGCTTTTTAAACTTTGTAACGATGTCAGAATAATTAACGACATCTTT